ACGCGGCCCAAACCCGATGCCAGGGATTTGGACGAAGGCATGGCAAGCCCCCAGATTCCTTTAACAGAATTCCCTTGCAGCACCAGCATTGGAGGGGTAGGCACTTACCCCTCCACCAAACAATTTTTTAACCAATGCCTAACCGCAAACCTTACAAGTTGTGACGATTTGTTACGCAGTAGGCAAAAACCAAATGGCACCAGCCAATCAGCCAAATGGACAAAATTCCTACCAGGCCCCTGCCCCAAAAGCAGGCAACCCCATGACAGGCATAGCAAGGTCAAACAAAATAACCCTCATTTCAGGGAGGGTGGGCGGGTGATCCGGTGCACATGGCAAAAGAGAAAGTCCAAAGCTGCGTGACCTGTATTTAAAACCTTTGTGTCCCACCCCCAAATTGGCAACATGAAAATCTCCCCAGAAACTCAGCTGCCCAATGACTGCCTATGGCCATCCAAACAGATTTGCCCAGCAACAGTGGGGTGGCCTGCTAGACCCCACCGCAACACGTGCTCTCTATTAGGGAGAACACACTTTCTGAGTAGACACGACTAGGATTGCACTGTTAACACAGCATATTTTTCCAGTATTACACCTCCCTGAAATCTGATGGTTTATGATAACACCACCACCAAAATAGAAGAATGGAGGAGAATGAGCAGTTGCCCCACCCCCAATGCTTCTGAAGTTCTCGTGACATAGTCCTTCCAGTGTGATTTCTATTACATGGTCCATTGACCTGAAGGAGACCTTAGGTTAACCTTGAATTTGGGATGGCAGAAGAAGCAGTTAATCATGCGTGGGAGGCTGAAACAGGAGCTTGTGAAAAACCAGAGCGGGACAAGCAACAAATGAACTTATTAAACAGTGCAATTGCACCACTGTCTAGCTAACAAAATATATAGGTTCTGTACATACACATATTTAATAACTTTTCACTCACCTCCTCCACAGTACACTGAACACATAATAGCCAAGTCAGGCTGCCAGGGAGGCCCTGGGAAACTTTAATTGACAGAAAAACAGGCAGCTTGAAGCTGAGAGTCCTCAGGTCAAGAAGAATAGCATGTAGGCTATCAATACAATGCGGTTTTAAATTACATTAAGTGTTTGTGTTAAATTGGTTAGGTGAAGTCCCCAGCGGATTGAGAAATGCTGAATGAAGCCATTATGAAACCATAACTATAGCTGCTTTGTTTGACTTTCTTTACGCTAAGACGAAGTGTATAGAACAGTTGGCTACATTAGGGATTGTTAGTATTCTCTGCACTACACAAAATTATTGCATTTTAGGTTTGACTCTTCTTTTGGAGTAGGTCCTTGATTTGTTTCACAAACTTAATTTTAATCCACTTGGTTATAGTCTGATTTTAAATATATAGGACAATCCCGCTTCTCTCTACCGCCCTTTCTATAAACATACAGACACTCATATACACATACTGTGAATTCCTTCCAGAAGGTTGGGACCCTCAGAAACAGCATTGGGGAGGGCATGACAGGTTTTAGGAAGAGGATTCTGTGAAAACCACCCCTCCTACTTTCATCAGTGGGAGCCATCACTGCATCAAAGGCCCTGGATCCAATCCAAATTATTTAATAAATTGGTGTGTCATGTATGCTATAAATACTGATAATGGAAAAACCATTAATTAACTGATGAGTTGTTTTTAACACCAGCTTCTATAAAATTAATTGCTACAGGAAGTAAAGAAAGTAAATCAACAATAAAAACCCAATATTCCCTCTTACATTGCATAGAAAACAAGTAGAATCCAATACAGTAGTTTCCTTAGCACAATGGCTTTTGGGTTATGCAGTGAGATATTCCCTTCCCTCTCCTCTTCCCATGTTGCCCCCTTAATCTGTTCTGGGGGTTTCCTCAACTCTCCAGAACAGCTTTGGAGAGTATGCAAAGGGCACACGGGGAAAGGAGACAGAGGTAAAGTTTAACTGTGCAAATGGAAATCTTTGTGCTAAAGGAAGTGCTTCATGGGATACCATTCAGTGTGTTTAGGGTGACATGAAATAGCTAGTGCTCACACAGTAATATACCATGTAGGATTATGCTGGCATTACAAGTTGATTTAGATCTAGGTGTGGATGAACAAATCCATCAATTTTGGCTTCTCTCCCGACTTTTGTTTTGTTTTGTTTTTCCTTTTTACAGTCTTAACTTTAGTTTGCCCTTGTTTCCACATTAGCCACTGATTCGGATGACTTTGAAAGAGAATTAGACAAATTCATGGAGGATATGTTTATCAATGGCTATGTTCTACCTCCACAGTTGGAGGCAGATGCTTCTTGTTGAAAGTTTGGGTGCAACTCAGCTTGCAGAAGGGGGGTTGCATGGAGTTAAGACAGATAGAGTGAGGAACCTCCAGATTCCCAGACTATCCCCGTATGTTTATTTCTATGCTGACTTCTCTGTCTCTTTGATGTTTAGACTGATACATCTTAGGTTGCATCCTGTGTACAACTTCCTCTTCATCATCATGCTTCTTTCTCAGACCTCAAGAGGAGAAGTCACCATCAAACTATCCTGAAGAACACAGAAGAAAGCATGGCTGCCTTGCTCTTCTATTTACTAGTAAGACTGGAACTAGAAACCTTTTTGTCTTATAACAAATAACTTTATTATTTTCTTCTCTCCAAGCCTCTCTATGTGTGATTGCAACAGGTAAAGTCTACTCTCTAACCAAGATCCACAATACAGACGCTGCATACACTGCATACTAAAATGCTTCAGTAGGTAATTGTCCTAGTTATCCCAATACTTATTATCAGTTGCCAGAAAATGTGGGAAGATAGAGTGCTTTAGTGCTCAGTTCCTACTTACAGGTTTTCCATAGGCATTAAGTGGGACATCATATTGGACCCTATACTATAAACCCTACGTTCCATTGACTATCTGCTAAGTCATTAGCACAATTCTTGGAGATAGACCCAAAGTTTAAACACCTATCTCTTCCTAAATAGGAAGCATGATCTTCTCCTTAGCTAAATTTGGGAGTCTGTAAAGGCATTCTTCCCTGAAGGAAGGGAATCCCAGTACCAAATGAAGATTATTCAAGGCATTCATAATTCTTCCTTATGCTGTTGTGAAAGAGCAGCAGGTGTTTTAAATTTGTTTTCCTGTGTAAACATATATTTTGCACATGTCAGTAACCTCTAGCAGAGTGTGTTCAAAACTTTCCTTCTGTTTCAATGAAGAAATTTAATACTGTATACCTCTGTAATATCTTCCCGTTAAATTCTTTATTGTAATGGGTCCTGGTGACTTCATTGTTCTATAAACTAAATGCCAGCCATAAGGTAGGAGTGGGAAGGAGCAGATGGAGGGTTCATTTTTCAAACTATATTGGAATCAAATTGCATTCTTTAAATTTCAGACCCGGTGTCGGTTTAGTAAATCATAAATGATAATTTTATTCCAACACAGTGATCAGGTTGATATAAAATTAACATAACAATTGTGTGACTCAAAACAGAGAACTCCATATGTTAGAGTAGAAATAGATTATTGGAAAGGTTTGTTGCTTTCACCTTAAAAATATGAAGTTATTTGTTTTGAAACACATGCCCTTTATAATATATAACTTCACAGCAAGCAAAAAATGATCAGCAAGCTTCAGAAAAGCTACACAGCTGTCTGAAGGTATTTACTATGGTGTCCTCTCAATGGTGACTATAAGAGCAGAACTATGTGGAGATACCACGAGTCTTCTGCTCATCCCACTTTTAGCCTTATGATCCATCAGTGAATAGTTTAGATTTTACTTCTGACACACTTGCGAAAAAGAAAAAGGCAGCCCCCTCTGGTTGACATGAATAGATTTGGACAGTAAAATAAATCTATCTACCTCTCTCGATGCTTTGACTCAAATTATGTGTAGAATAATTAAGACAACTCTTGCTTTATGAAGGCAGAGACGGGTGTTTTTCAGGGAAAGACTTTCTGAAGGAAATTCATTGCACTGACTGAGGTTGATCATTTGAAAACATTCACTGCTAAGAATATTTCAGCACTCCACTGAGTGCACTGTTGGCACCTGAAAGAAAGAAACCACCAGGAAAATGTCTGCCTGAAGTGCAAAAGGTTGGTGTGTGAGCACTTTCCATGCCGATCTAATCAAGAATCAAAGTGGAAACCATGGTCACACCTGCCATCCCATTAGAAAATTGCTTCTCACAAATTATTAGTTGTGATTCTTCATCTCAGTCAAAATGGTTCTTTAGAATGGTCTTCAATTACTGAAACACTCTTCGGGACCGGTTTGGTGGAGGGAGTCAGCAGCCTCAGGCAGAAGATGCTACAGGATGTGAAGCAGTAGTGAGGCAGTGGCAGGTAAAGCTGTGTGGGCCGTATGACATTCCCTGCACCTTCTGAGCCAGGTGTGGGGAAGCTTTGGCACTCTAGATAGACGTTGCTGAAGTGCAACTTCTATCATCCTTGCCTGACCGTGCTTGCAGGAGCTGATGGGAGTTGCAGTTCAACAACATCTGGTGGGCCAAAAGTTCACCACACCTGTTCCAAGCTAGCCTGTTGCCTTCACTTGTGTGGGGGTGGGGGTGGTATCTCACCACCAGTGTTGAACTAAGATTCAGTTAACAGTCTGTTCAGCTTCTATACAGATGCCAAGGGAGTGCCACCTTGTCCTTTCCTTTAGGCAGCAAAATGTCTTGGGCTGGGATACTCCTTATTTTCTAGTTTATTTGGAGGCAATGAGCAAAGGAAGATGCAAGCACTACTTCTCTGCATGTCCACACATTTTTATCACGATCCAAATAATAGCCATTCTTTGAACCAATCTTGTAAGTTATTTTTTTACGCAATATTCAATATATTTTGCTGTGTGCATGGGAGAGTAGGAAAGACACCCTTTGGCTAATTTACCACCTGTGCATTTCCAGGAGAGATAATGAAGCAAAATGCAATTGAGATTTTATGAGGTCATGATTTCTAATCCTGTTACATTTGTACCTTAATGAAAATTTCTATTAAATTTTTTTCTTGTAATCAGCACAATTAAAGGTTTATTAATTCTTGCTATATTCCCAAAACTTTATGGTCCAATAATATTTAATTCAAAAATATTTAACAAGTTACATCGACAGAATTATCCACTTAACAAAATGAATAAGTTGTTTAAAGAGTCTCCTGGGCACTCTTGGTGATTCCGCCATAGATATTTGGTCTTGGCCACTTTGCCAGTCCAAAAGAGTGTGATTAGTACCTTGTGGTTGCTAAGCGACAACACTATATATATGGGATATATATCCACGGGACCCAGCAATCGGGTAATCTTAGACACTGACCATGATGTTATGCGTTTTCATTATTGTAATACATTTATTTCTCACAGCTATATTTTATTGAAACATAGTAAAGGATGTATTATACACCTGACAACTTTCCACTGATAAAATAAAGGGCACAGTCTACGATCACATATGCAAGGTATTTACAGGTATGTTTACCCAGAAATCCTACTGAGCTCATTGGCACTTACTCTCAACTATGTTGTTGTTGTTGTTTAGTTGTGTCTGACTCTTCGTGACCCCATGGACCAGAGCAACTATTTTAGTTCATCTTAATTTGTTTGTTTGACAAACATGCTCTATCCCATGAGTTCAGAGTGGCTTGCCACCATTTTTCTAAATAGTCCTGTATCACAATTTAAGGCAATTCAATTGTTTAGGAGATAAAAGAGGCCAAATGAAACGAAAAGGAAATTATAAATTTATGCTATTTTTTCATGGATCGGAGGAATAAAACACCCATACCAAACCGTAAATAAGCAGGCTAAAAAAGCTGTCCAGTGCATGCGACTTAATGTTTCATGGCTCAGCAGGGCTTTCGTTGGATGCTGTACAATCGGTTTTCCACTGCCACACTGAGATTTATCAAAAACAGTTTGTGATATGGTAACAAGGGGCTTGCTGTTTCACGGTAACAAGGTCAGGCATCCCAGTGGTGCATAACCGCTGTTGGTGTATTCTCCCTCACATGATTGCAATTGTAAGAGGACATCAAATGAGGTTGACTCTGTTGCCATTTTCCACAACTTGGAGGGAAACTCTAAAGAAGTAGGGAGGCTGTTGTATGTGCTGACTGATTCTCAAATGACTTAAAACCTTGTGTGATCAGGGTTCTTAGCCATGTGGAGAGACTCATGGAGAGCAATCCCATTGCTTCAGGTCTTCAACCTCAACGGCAATGGACACATGACTGGGACTGAGGAGAGGCAGTGCCAGGAAGAGAAAACCTTCTCACCACAGGTCATAAGCACATGAGGGGGAATGCCCAAGAAAGGATTTAGACTGCTTCAGAGCACCTCCAGACTGTCGATATTTTGCAGGAGGAATTCAAGCATTTCTTAAAGGAAATCTAGATGTGTGCAATTAAAATAGAGTAAAGTGCTCCATCACCATAGTTTGAAAAATCCACATGGAGAAAGAAACAGAATTTCTGTAGTCTGGAAAGAGAAATGCATTGTGAATTGCGGAATGAATGAATGATGGGAAGACATAGTAATCCCACCCCTTCAAGTAAATCAGGATGACAGCTTATCATCCTGCAACCTCCCTATTATCCTACTATCCTACAACCTCCCCACTTTGTGCAAGCAAATCAGGATGAATGCTCAATATATAGGTTGACTAGAAGAGCTCTCATATCATTCAGTGCATGTCAAAATATTCTGGAAGGGGAGGTGTGAGGTAAAATCATACCGTGCCATTTTCTGAGTCCTTCCAAAGTTTTTGTACCTATCACCAGTATTAAAAAATAAAAATACCAACACACTATTAAACACATTTCAAGCTTTTGAGATAAGTTGTTCCTCTTTTAGGAGGTGTGTTTGTGTATATATGGAAATAGTAGATATGTGTGTATGTGTGTATGTGTGTGCCTGTTCTGTAGACAGCAAATGATACCTACTACCACTAGAAGTAGCCTAATAGCAAAGAGTAGCAAAATTAAACCATACCATTGTGCATCAACTGGGATTTCTTGTGTTAAATAAAACTTCTGCTGAAGAGAGAATTTAGATAGGGGGGAAAAACATCTCCAGCTGTCTGCAAGAATTTACAGACTGATGCATTTTCAGACTCTGGAGAGCGAACTATTTGTTGCTCTTTCCTTTTTCTGTTTTTACAAAAAGGTGGAAAGCCAAATGTTGTGCTCAGCAAGACCAGAAGCAGTAGAGGTCATGTTCTTAAGCCAGATAGCATTTTCAATTCTGCTGAGTGCCAACGTTTTCCTTCTGCTCAATAAAAATAATAATAAAGTGGACGGTTGTTGTTGTTTTTTTAAAAAATGGAACATTTTTAATACCAGGCACAATGACAATACTACATCCAATGAAATGTAGACATGTTTAGGGGAATGTGTTCTGTATAGGAGAGGTGAAGCCAGTGCAAACTGGAACCGAGCAGAAAGAGCAGTCCCTCATGCATGGTACGTTTTTGAGGAGATATTCAGAGACCTTTTGCAGCACTTTTGGTGATACTGGTGGGAATGCATGTGTCCACAGACACAATGACATCTACAAGCACCAAGTTGATGACCTAAGCCCCATTGAACCCAGTGGACTATATTTCTGAGTAAACACATATAGGATTGTACTGCCATCATAGTAGGAAAAGTTCTGGAGATCATCTCCCCCTTTTCCATTAAGTGCAAATATTCATTTTTATCTACCCAGCGCAGTGCTTCTCTTTGCTCTTTCTGCTGCTGCTTCAAGTCCATTTGCCTCATTTTCTAATAACCTTTGCCTTCTTCTAGGGCTGGGTTCTGCCAGGCTTACAGATCATAGCAGGGTGATATGGCCTGCTTCACACAGCACCATGAACAGTAGCTCTGGGATAGATTAAGACAACAAATGACCAGCCCTGCTTCCCTCTCTCCTTTCCTGTCTCTTCTCTCTGGATAAGAGCCTTGAATAGCACAGATGTGCCACTCTGAACCTCTCAAATTTTAGTACTGCCATAAATAAGTCCTCCTAGCATAATTAGCAGTTTGAAGAATCCAGTTTATTTTAGCTATTTGTGGGCCAGATTAGATGTGCCATTATGTCGGTGTGACTACAATTCAAATACACAAAATGCATTGAGTAGATGGGGATAAGCAGCATCAGCACTGTGTTGAAGGTGGTAGGAAAAGGGTGTTTAAAGACCACCACCCCACCATGATCCTTACCAAAACAGGCACACCTCCACACACACACACACACACACACACACACATACACACACGTGGGATGTGAAACACATAGCAATCAACTACAACATTCCTAGAGTGGACATGCTAGGGGATGCTTTTGTATCAGCCAGGAGAAAACTTCCTGTTTCCTCCTTAGCTATGACAAACTTCTCTCAGCATGTGCCTAGAGGCCTGTGTGTGTGTATGTGCATGGCCTAACCTGGGCAAGGGAGCACAGCTCTTTCTTTTGTCTCTTCTCCATTTTTCCTTTTCCATGTGTTAGCAGAAGTGACTGCCTGTTCGCAGTCACTTAAGAACTAACTCCTTTATGGGATAGTTCCACATGTGTGTATAGTTTTGTAACCTAAGTCTGCCTTCAGGGATCCAACTGTGAACTGAGTGATTGTGAATAAACTAATTTTATATTGACTTTAATAAGACTGTCGTGTCTATTCTTTTTAAGAGGGACAAAAAGGGATCTTAGAAGAAGAAGAAGAGTTTGGGTTTGATATCCCACCTTTCACTCCCTTTAAGGAGTCTCAAAGCGGCTAACATTCTCCTTTCCTTCCTCCCCCACAACAAACACTCTGTGAGGTGAGTGGGGCTGAGAGACTGCAAAGAAGTGTGACTGGCCCAAGGTCACCCAGCAGCTGCATGTGGAGGAGCGGAGACGCGAACCCGGTTCCCCAGATTAGGAGACTACCGCTCTTAACCACTACACCACACTGGCTCTCTTACCAGGAATCTTATATTGAGAGGCTCAGACGAGCCTGCAACAAGCTAACCGCTGTGCAAATTTAAAAAGGGAACTTGTGTTAGAACTTGCTAACACAAGTTAGGAAAGATATCATCAAATAATATATTCTCTCCTGCCTCCCTAAACATCGCCACAACACACACACACAAACCCACACTATTTGCATCAGGAAGTAAGCATCATTTGGCACTATTGATTCATTGATTCCACTGGCGTTCAGTACACACCCCTCACACAACCAGTCATATGATTTTGATGCAGCTCTGCTCCTCTTCCTGGCTGCTATTTACTTCACAAAAATGTGCACACTGATTGTGCAATTAATGTCACAGTTAATGCCAAATAAATCTAGTTTAGCTCTGCTTCTGTCTTTTACTTCACAGCAACCACTAGGGCATTTTGCAGAGTAATATCTGAAGAACTAATATTTTACCTACTCATAACTTTATAATAAAATCTATAGACTAATATTATTTCTTCTAGCCTCCTACACTCTTACCTGCCTGGGAATCCCATCTGTCAAATTTTTCTACTGATACTCTCTTTTCTTCCCTGCTTGTATATAACATTGTGTTCTAGCTGCCCTTTGGTAATAAAAATCTGTACGCAGCTATTCAGCTTCAATAGGTAGCGCATCATGCTCTTTGGGAGCTCTTTGGGAAACCTGAGCAACACAGATATGTCGATAATAATACCAATAATAAGCAGTAGATGGGTTGTTTTGAATGAGAATAGAGTTGAGATGTCTAAAAGGTCCCATCAGAAGAATTCCAGTTCATCCCCAGGCAGTATTTTGGCAGAGTGGTAACACATGGAACTTCACATGGATGTCCACCACTGAGGTATGTGAGGGCAACCTTTGGGAACTTAAATGTGTCTGCACGTAACCCCGATCTTGACAAGGAACTGAAAAACATTAGATAAAAATAGAGCGAGTCAGACCCAAATGATACTGAATATGTTAACCTTCCCCAACAAGGCCTCCAACATCCAGAAAACCAAGACAGAATTTGTAATGAGATCGGCACTTTCATCTTTCTGTCAGAAGGATTATCCCCTGTGTGGATATAACTACAATTAACATTAATAGGCCATGGGTTGGGGGGGGGAGAATTCAGCTCTTAAAATATCTTTCTAGCAAGGATTTGACCACCAACCTCTATACTTTATTTATGAGCGCGCGCGCGCGCGCACACACACACACACACACACACACAGAGAGAGAGACAGACAGACAGATAGACAGGCAGGCAGACAGACAGAGGCAGAGAGACTGAGACCAAGACTAAGAAAATTTCTGCAGGGTCACAAATTTCCACATTTAAAAAAAAATGCTGAACCACTGAAGGCAAGTCGTTAGAATTAAGCCTTAGCATCTCCTCTTCTTTACCCTCCTGCCAGCCCTTTCCAAATGGCCTTTCTGCTAGTCAGTTGTAACACCAGTGGATTTTAATTAGTTTATTGAGCTTGAGCTTTTCCCCGCCCCACTCAGCCCAGTCAAAAGCCCACATTGTTATGTATTATGGTGGTTGCATGCCAAAAGTCAATTTGCACTGAGCTCATTATGCATTGACATCAGTCATACAGCATTGCTGGGGCTGCAGCGTTTTTCTGACTATGTGCTGACAGGGTCATATGACCTGCTGGAGAGTCAGATATATGAATTGCGCTAGCTGTTATGAAAGAGATGCAGCCACCACACAAAGTGTGCTGGTCCCATGGGTAGATAAAGAAATGAGGTGCTAGTCTATTCCGAGGTCGAAGGAGCAATATGGAGGCAGTCCGTAAAAGCTGAGGCTGGGCGCAGGGCAGGGTTCAGGCAGGAACTGGTGGCCAACAATGTTGCTTCCGCAACTCAGGACTGGGACTGGCTGGCTTTTACCTGCCCCAAGGCACAGGGTAGCCACGATCCTCAGGTGACTCGCCTCTCCTGGCCTGGAGGCGAGCACTCCTCCTGTGGGAACTTAGTTCCCTCCGCCTCTCTGCCCTAAGCCTCTGCAGTCCAGGAGAGGCTGGAGGGTTATCGGACCCAGAGGCAACCTCAGCTTCCTCTGACGGGGCTGAGAGTGGAGCACCTGCAGGCAATGGGTCCTCCACCCCCTCAGGAGCCAGAGTAGACTCAGCTGGTGCCTGCACCTGAGGATCCAGCACAGGTGAGGACCCTTCAGGCTCATGCCCCAGCCCCGGCTCAGCTGGTCCTGGAGGCGGGGAATCCTGTGCAGGTTGGGATTCCTCAGGTTCAGCATCCAACTCCGAATCCCAGGCCATCACACAAGTGGAATCTCAGCATGTAGCTGCCCCCCTCTTTTCCATATGTGGAAATCTGATTCACTGCATGGGGTTGATATCATATTTTCTTCTTCCTACTCTGATATCTGCTGGTGGCTGCTAGGAGTGAGGAAATTCACAGTATGATGACATCACCATATGTCATGGACTGGCTGGATTCACACGAGTGGTAGGAGGCACCAGCTGGGGAACCCCCAAGGGAAGAAAGCTCAGAGCCAGGGGATTGGTGGTGGGATGATGCATGGTCAGAGAGAAATGGGGAGCAAACTGGGAGGAGGTGGCATTGGAAGATGGAGAGGCAACAGATTTTAGTGAGCAGGAAGAGGCTGGAGCAGAGGGCAGTCTAGACTCTGAGGCAGGAGAGGGAGGGGGCTAGGAAAAGAAATGAGGCAGGCTGTTGAAGAATCCTGCACCAAGAGTATTAGACCAATCAAGGAAAATATTTTCTGCAGAAAGATTGGGTTGATGATCACGAAGCAAAGAGAAAAGTCTTCTCAATCCATATTCCTTCTTGGTTCAGAGCAAACCTAATGAGATCCATCTGAACAGGTTGGTTGAAGAGCCAAGATCAGGAAGAATAGGGGTTTATTTAGTCACAAGTCAGTTAAAATTTTTTATGTGCCAAGATTTCAGGAAGAATACAAGGGATGGGGACCCTGTAGCCCTCCCAAAGTTGTTGGATTAATTCCAGTGATCCTGGCCAATACAGCAATACTTGGAGCACTATACTTAGGCTTTCCATATCTACTTTAGGCAATTTCTTATTCAACCAGGACCAGGCAGAATGGTCAATCAGAATCATCAAACTGTAGAGTTGGAAGGGACCCTGAGGATCATGTAGTCCAACCCCCTGCAATGCAGGAGTATGCAACCATCCCATATGGGAATCAAACCTACAACCTTGGCATTATCAGCACCTTGCCCTAACCAACTGAGCTATCATCAACAACTATTTGTATGCCTTCTTTCCATTGTTAAATCATGCTCAACAGCTTACAACATAAAAAATTGCATAGCTCTCCCTAACATATAATACAATTTAAATAATGTTGAACAATAAGCTGATGAAAATCTCAATAAATATACAATAAAATTAAACAATATACACACAATTCATGTTATCGTGGTGTGTGTGTTGAAGAGGAGAGGTTCCCATGCCAGTGTGGTAATGGACACCTCTGTATTTCTGCCGTTGCATATCATTGCCAGTTTTGCCCTATTCAACAAAAACAGATCTCTCAGATAATTATTTCTCAACAAGACATGTGCTTGCCACTTTAAAAGCCTAACCCACACACACAGAGGGAATAGATTTGTAAAAACATCCATCTTGATACTTAATTTGGATTCTTAGGCACATATATGCATGAGACTTTGGGGGAAATTATTTAAATGCTCAAGTTAGGACCTCAGAAGACATGGATACAATATGTAGCCTGCTTCATCTTGCATCAGGGTATGATTATTGAAACACTGGATCATACAGCATTTGGTAGACTACTAAATTAAAAAGGAGAAGATTGGTTTTAAAATATGCATCTCATGAAAAAAAAATATACCTGTTTGTCAAAATAATAAAAGTTTGATGCCGAACTGAGCAAATGAAAAAGATTATATATATTTTTTTGGACTAAGTGCTGAAACAGTTAGAAAAAGTATTTTCCTCCCAAGTCTTACTTTTAACTTCCTTTGATACAAGGTGGCACAAAGTCAAGAGAGAACTTAAAACAAGCTTCACATTAATATTTGAAAAAGGGCACCCAATATGTTTGATGTGGCGCCCTTCATGCAAATCATGTAGTTTGAGAGAAATCCCAGTAGGAAAGAAGCTTCTTTCTTCTCAGCACTCGCTCTTTTTTCTGGCTGATAATAATGAACTTTTCACACTCCCTTTGCAACCCCCCTTGAGCTATACAGGAATAAAGTTATAACTCACTAGGTGCTGCCTCTTTTGGCAGGATATTTTTTGTCGTTACATTATTTATTGATTTTTGGTTAAAAGTGAAGGGAATACAATTTTTAGTTCAGCACAGATTTTGTACTTTTCCCCCAACAGAGATCAGCAAGGAAAAAAAAGTCTTAGGAGAAGAGCAGGGGGTGGGGAACACACCTTTTTGCACTTGGTTTTAAAAAGCATAATGATATATCTACACCCAAAAATTCAATGTGCTTTAATGAGAGACATTGATAGAACAGTTAAGGACGGCAGGTGGTGTGAGAGAAGGAAACTTATTTGTCTAATTGCACTATGGTAGGTGTCACATTCAGCATACTGATGACTTTAAATTACACCTTCAAAAACCTGAAGTCTTATTAATTATGGGGGAGAGTATCTAGGTTTTGCCAGGAAGAAGGTAATGCAGGCAGCACCTAGCATCATAAAAAAAAACCACCTTACCAACTAATACAGTTTTTTCACCTTATATCAATGTGACTTATTCAGCCTGATCCTCAGAATTAAGTCTCACACAGTTCAATGGGGCTTACTCTCAAGCAAATGTGCATAGGCTTGAAGTCCTAATTGTAACTATGGACTAAAAGCAGATGTATGCTCCCACAATTAACCTTTAGATCATTAGCTACATGCCATGAAAATGACTCCTGTAGTAGCTGAGAAGCAAACGTGATCCATGTTCATAATTAAACCATGATAATAAACATATACGTTAAACACATTTTTTTTTAAGGCAAGAGGGAAATAAAAGCAGCAAGGAGACTATATGATACACAAATATCAGGGAAGTGCCACCCTACAGGGGAGAATAGTTTTGTTGTTTATTTTGGAAAAGAAAATGGGTTGAATACAAACCAAGTTATATTCAGAGTAAGGTAAAGGGACCCCTGACCATTAGGTCCAGTCATGGCTGATTCTGGGGTTGCGGCGCTCATCTTACTTTATTGGCCGAGGGAGCCAGCGTACCACTTCCGGGTCATGTGGCCAGCATGACTAAGCCGCTTCTGGCGAACCAGAGCAGTGCACGGAAACACCGTTTACCTTCCCGCCGGAGCGGTACCTATTTATCTACTTGCACTTTGACATGCTTTCGAACTGCTAGGTTGGCAGGAGCAGGGACCGAGCAATGGGAGCTCACCCCATTGCGGGGATTCGAACTGCCGACCTTCTGATCGGCAAGTCCTAGGCTCTGTGGTTTAACCCACAGCGCCACCCGCGTCCCTTATATTCAGAGTAGACATGTTAAAATTGATGGGTATGACTAATGTAAGTTCTACTCTGATTTAGCTGGATGTGCAATAGTTTATGTGGCCAGTTTCCATCTTTTGGGAGTTTTGCGTTGTACTGTGATGTTGTCTTGACTTTCTACAGCAGGCATAGGCATACTCCGGCCCTCCAGATGTTTGGGACTACAATTCCCATCATCCTTAGCTAACAGGACCAGTGGTCAGGGATGATGGGAATTGTAATCCCAAACAACTGGAGGGCCAGAGTTTGCCTATGCCTGTCCTACAGCAATTGTACAGCAATTTCCCAAAACCCACCCTGCATTCTACATAGGCATTTTCTTAGATAGCTTCTATGCCTTTTCAGATCATGAGTCCAGCAACAATTTGAATCAACAATAGTATTTGTGACTATTTTTAAAATCAACCCATAAAGAAACAACCACTCGTTTCAAATAGCAAACATTGGTGGGATGGTTCATACAACTTATCAATGAGCAACATATACCCTAAATCTATAGGGGAAGTTAATATTTGCAATCAAATAATTAATGCCTGCAATTCTGCACCCGGTTAAACCTGCTAATCCCAACAAGAATTATGTCTGAATTTAGAGGCATAAGAAACTCATATACCGTCCTGAACCCCTGGCCTACCCGGCAGCATGTCAGTGTGTCAATCCAATGTTTAAAGTCCAGAGGTCAATCCACACAAGCAAAGTCCAAAGGTCAGGAAACACAGTCCAGGATCAATCCAAGGAAGCCACATCTGAAGTCCAGCAGTCAGGATACGGTCCAGAGTCAAACCCAAATCACAATCTATAGCAGTCTGGGAGCATCCAACTCATGGTCCATCAGCATAGGCAGTTAAGCAGACACAGCACATCAGCGCTGCTTCACTTTTGTGCTTTGCATGCTGATTGCAACATCTGGGCTTGCTGAGGCATGTGACCCCCACCTGTACCAATCCTGCTCTAGCTGAGGAATCACTTCCCCCTACAGAGTTAGTGAGCCCCACCTGGCCAGCTAGGGAGCTGGGATGTGGGCCCTTGCCTGCGTCAGCCTCCTAGAACACCCTTCCCACTACTTCCTATGCCTCTGAGCCTGCTGCGTTCATGGGGACAGCGGCCCCTCTGGCTCTGGTGATGGGTCCTGCTGCTCTGGTTCCTGTGGACTGACCTCCATCCCCTCGCCATACTCCGTCACCCTGTGAATAATTCCTTCCCCATCCCCTGCTCGCCCCGGAGTGTCCCAGTCCTGGCTACACCCCTTGCTGGGATCCTCTTCCTCTTCTCCAGCATCCTGCCAGTTCATGACATATACTGAGTCAGAATATTGGTTCACCTGGAGCTACACTGACTTTCCAGGCTTTCAGGCAGGGAGGCATTCTCTGCTCCACCTTGAGATGCCAAGGATTAAACACAAGACCTTCCTACATGACAGGCAGACACTCTACCACTTCAAGCAAACTTTAAGCCGGAATGGAGCTACATGCATGAGGCACCATCCAATCCATAAATTCAATTCACCCACAGAAGAATTTAAACATATTGTTGTATCTCATAAGGCCCATCTGTGAACAGAAGTCTCTGTTCGCATAACAGGCAGCTAGTCAAAGTATCCACCAACTTAAGAATAAGAGAGACTTTATATATATATATATATATATATATATATATATATATATATATATATAGCTTATTTGTCTTTCTGCCTGCAGCTCCCTCTGTCTCCATCCACGGTCATCTAATAGGACACCTCAATTATCTCGAGAAGGTTTTCATGCCCACCAGTGGCTGCAGCAAGGGAGGGGAACCTGTGAAGTCCACCTCCATGCCTCTTCCATTAGGGGATTCACCCATCAGATCAAAAGTCCTTCTGAGAATGGAGGAATCCCATTACATTCAGTGCATAGGATTTTTAAATTTGGGACATGGACAACTTGCATTTAAAGATGGAAAGGTGTTTGTTGTTGTTTTGGTGGGGGGAGAGTTGCTTTCAACTGGGACATTTTTGGATAAAGAGAACTCTGTGCCAGTTTCAACTATTCCCAGGAGAAAATATTTCCCATACTATACTTGTCTGGACTGCCCAGCTTTTCTTGTTCAAGGCTCTCCCTGGTGTGTTTAAAATAACCTTTTGATGCTTAAGTTATCCTAGGAAAAAATCCACTTTTAGCTAATATGATTAGGTGTTAAATGGCAACTTAAGTAAGTTGTTTATTTATAGAGCATGTTTATTCTAGGTATGTTAAAAGCTTCTGAATGTCAAAAGAGCTGTTCTTATTCATCCTACAGTTTTTTAAGCTCTTTATTTTTATTTTACAGGCAATATGTACATTGACAAAGGTACTTTAGCTTGAAGACAGAGATATAGATGCTTCTGTTGACTATCAGGAAAACAATGAGGATTTTTCATTCATTTCTTTGATCAACAACCTGGAAATACGGCAGTTCTACCTAGGAAAGAAACATAGTCAGCCAGTTGTTGAGAATCACAAGCAGAGTGTGTGTGTTTGCACTCGGGTCCTTATTACAGGCTTCCCATGGGCCTCTGGCCCATTGTGAGAATACGATGTTGGACTAGATGGGCCATTGACTCTTATGCTCTTATCTCTGGGATGGCTTGTTGTCAAATTTCTCCTAAAGTAAAAAAATGAGACAGAGCTGGAGATGCCTGCTCTGGAAAAGCATTTGAGGAATTTGGGCAACAAAACAAAACAAAACAAAACACATAGTTTTAAGAAGAATAGCAAAATTTGT